TATATACTTTTGTATATCTTACACATCGAGGACTCAGGTGGATGAAGGGGTTAGTTGTGTGTTATGAGTTTACCCTGATCTTAGAAAGTTCCAGACTAGTTTCACTTATCTAAGAGAAGGATTGCTCATCATCACTATGTACTAGTTCCAGATATGTTCACTAGTGCTTAAGCAACTAATCTCGCTATTACTCTTCTGGAAAGCTTGTTTTCGAGTTTCAGAAGATTTCTTTCGCATTAGTGGGGGAATGTTGGTAATGCTCAATCCCACATAGTGTTGGAAACACTATTGGGAATGGTATTTAAGGCTTGACATTCCACTTCCTTGTTGAGTGATAGAGAACAAGGGGGCTCTCGCGCACCGCCGCCGCCGTCCGTCCGTCTCGTCTCGGCTCGGCTCGGCACGGCACGGCACGGCACGGCTCGGCTCGGCTCGGCTCGTGGTCGTGGTCGTGGTCGTGGTCGAGGTCGAGGTCGTGGTCGTGGTCGTGGTAATACGTGTCTTCGACACGTCCGCGCGGATACTATCTTTTTAGAGAAAATTCTTGAGGAATTTCTCTTTGAAAGAAACAAATGGAAAATGTGAAAGATATCAACTGATATTTATAGGCTGCTGAGGACTGTTTGAATTTCAAATAATAACAGCTGAATTATTTTTTATCAGAAATTAAACAGTTTATTCCTAAATTAAATCAGAAACGTTAAGATGTACCTGGACTGATTTACAGCTTTGTACAGAGGAGACAAGCTGTTAATATCAGGAGTTACAGGAGTTATTTGATTTAATTCCAGGGGTTACATGATATAATTTCGGGAGTTATAACAGCTGAATAATGATACAATGAACCTGGACTATTTCTGAGTCAGGTTCATCTAGTCATTTCAGCTGTTACAAATAAGAGGTTTAATCCTGAAATTTTATGGACGACTTTAACCCTATTTCTAGCCTATAAATAGAGAGCTATATTCAGCTTCTCAACTCACTCCAAAACATTCACAATTCACTTACCAAAGTGTTTTCTAAAGTTCTCTCTGTGAGTTCTCTCTGAGTGCTTTCCGATCAGAAGTGCAATACCACCAGCAGTCCACTCCGGTTTCGGGTGTACGTAATTCGGAGCGACCGTGTTAACCTCGGGGGACGGTCCGCCTACTGCAGCGATTACACACATCGAGGCGAATTCGTTTCTAAGACAGTGGTTCTTACCACGACACGGTTTACGAATCTGTTCTTCTTAATTACTGTTTATATTTTCAGTCAGTGCTAACGGTGTAGTTTTGCAGTTCATATATCCAACATTCTCCTCATTGTTTTTCATTCCTTTTCTTTTCTCTGTTCTAAAATAGAATCTTGGTATGATATTTTGACAGTGTGGGTGAGAAGTTGCTAAGGGTTGTGGTTTTATAGGGGGAGGACATGAAACAATGGTGTCTTTGTTCAATACATTTCCATGAATGCTCCTCTTCCTCCGCCATTCAACTTGGACTATCATTTTAATCACATGTTATATGATTATATCCTTCTTTTACCCCCCGGAAACTGAATTATTTGTGTACGATTCTTTTAAATTAATAAAACAACAATGACCAAAACAAAAACATAAAATTCTTTTCTTATTATATAATTTGAGTGAAATATTACGTATTGTAGACTTTCAATCATTTGATAATAAATGATTAGTTCTTTGTATATATAATTAGGGTTCTCAATTCTTTTATATTTATAATTAGGTCTACCAATTTTTATTTTCAATTTTTTTTTAGTTTTTTACCCTCTTCTTGTATTTCTCATATTAATTCATTAAATTTTGAATTAAATTTAATCATATTTTTCTCTTTTCATATCTCATTATTCAATTTATTAAATATTCTTTAATTTTTAGTCTCTCTAATCTTAATCTAGCGATAAAGTAATACACAATTCTTTATATTTATTTATTATTCAAAATCAAGCTACGTATCATATCTAGATTCAATTTTTATATTTATTTTCTCTTAGTTGTATTTAAGGTATTTACTTAATAAAATATTAAAATTAATGATGTGTTTTGTCAAAATTTAACCATTTTTCTATGGTTTATTTATGTCATATTAGGTTAATTTTTCGAAGTAATGAAATATACTTTTATTTTATAAGGATCTATTTTTGAGTTTTTGTTCAGGATTGAAATATCTTAAACGGTTTTGATACTCGAATCTAAGACTTCAAGGGATAACAACAATTCCTTTAATTGTTAAGATATTTTGATATTGCATGAATTTGTATATTACATATTAAATGTTGCTTGTTAAAATCAGAATTCCATTTCACATGGGAAGACAATAATACGATGGAATTGTATGTTGTTCAGATAACGCTGTGGTGTCATGGTTGTTGTTAACGGTGAGTCCACATCTGCTGTCGCTTTTCGTTGGCGCTGGTGAGTCAAATCTGACCCAATATTTCAACTAAAATTGTTGGGTCAAATTATCCCTTTGACCCCATAGATTACACTTAAAATTAAATATACTTAAAACCATGGTTTTTAGAATCGGATCGGTTAGCGAACCGATCATGTTATCGGTTCACTGGTTCAACCGGTTGAACCGGTCCGACCGGTCGGAAGAACCGGACGACGTCATAATTATTTAAAAAATTAAATAAAAATATCAAAAATATTTAATAAAAAATATTTTTTTATATCACAAGTCATATTCAAAGCAAGTCATAACATATATAAGTTAAAAACCATAAAATCAAGTGAAACAAAATGATTCAAATTAACTACAACACAATATTTAAGGTAAAACATATTAAATAATAAATATATTATATAACTATAATTAAAAAATAAATTTGGGCTTAAAAAAATCATAACAAAATGATATTGTTTGGTTTAATTTAATTTTTTTTTAAAAACAATATCACATGGCTAAGAAACATAGAAGAACATCCCAAAAGTCTAAAGAGTAAAAATATGAGAACAAAACAATCTCACATTGCTAAGAAACATAAAAGCGCATCACAACTAACTTCTATAAATAATAGAGGTCATTTGGCATTCAAAATCATGGAGCCTTTTGGTGAGCACTGAGTGAACTATTCGTTCACTTCAATCAAGCTCGAATTTTAGGCTTCAATCAAGCTTCTAATTTTTTTTTGAGTTCAAGCCTTTTTGAGTTCAAGTTTCAATATTATATTTCGAGTTTGAGTTGAACTTGATAATTTTTAGCTTGTGAGTTTGAGTTGAGTTGAGCTTACTTTTAAAGTTTTCAAGTTCGAGTCGAGCTTAACAATACTCGAGTTCGACTTGGCTCGTTTAACAAACGACGTTGTTTGGTTTATTTTTTTAAAAAAAAGCAAAAATCCCGATTTTTTCCGGTTTTCAGCCGGTCCGGTTCAAACGGTTCAACGGTTCTGACCGATTCACTAATAGCGGTTCAACCGGTTTAGATTGAACCGGACTAAGCAACGATTTTCGGTTAAACCGACCGATCCGGTCGGATTTTCAAAACAGAGCTTAAAACAATGGATTAAGTACAGTAGTGCGTAGATTACACTTTGAGGATATTATTTCGTTGGCTCTCATAATTATTAAAAATCATAAAATGATTTCTTAATTATAAGTAATATTTTATTGAATCCCCTGATTATTAAAAGTTACAAATTGGTCACCTGACTATTCATATGTTTTAAACTCATCATTTTATGTTAAAAATTTGACGACCGTCTGAGCTAGACGTTAATATATTGATGGGGATATGATAAAATATAATCTTATAACTATTTGATTTGTATGTTGTGGACCGACTCTCCATTTATATTATGTCGTCGAGACATTATTTGAAACACAATGTCATCTAGTCAGTGCTTGAAAGTAATGACGATACAATATATCATTAAAATATGATTTATTATATTTTAATCAACACATTAATGTGCAACTCAGACGATCGTCAAGTTTAAAAACAAACAAGTTTAGAACATATAATAGTTGACTGATCATTTTATAACTTTAAATAGTTGATGACTCAACAAACAACACTCTATAGTTGAAAGACTATTTTGTAATTTTTAATAGTCAAGAGACTCAACAAAATAATATCATGTAATCAGATGAACATTTGTGTACTCTACCCTAAAATAATCTATTCAAATTCAAGTTGACTTCTATAAAAATGTTAAACATGATTTTCCTGGCACCTTAAAAGAATTAATCAAATATCGGTCAAGCAAAATTTATCGACCGGGCATGACCCAAGACAATTAGGTGAGATTATTTAAATATTAAAAAATATTTGCTGGAATGAAAAAAATAAACTTGGAAGACTTTCAAATCCAAGTTGTATTGGCTTAGTTTATTATAAATAATTTCCGGGTAAACTATACGGATGGTCTCTTATATTTTCGGTCCGACTGATTTTGATCACTGGTTTAAAAAATCGTGATTTCGATCCTTTATGTTATCGATCCATTCAGTTTTGGTTCTTTGAGAGCAGGAAAAACTGTTAATTGTTTGGTTCTAGGTAGTGATTTAAGGATTTGTCTGTGAATACTGCTTTGTTATCAGTGTATTCAAAACTAGTAGTCTCAAAGATGCAAGATTTGTATTTGAAAATATGCCTGAAAAGGACGTTGTGTGGTATATAATGATTTCTGCATATTCACAAGGAAAACCAAAGGAGTCGGTCAAGAAATTGAGGTGCATGGAAAACTTTGGGAGTAGAGCTTCTATGTTTATTGCTATCAGGAAGAAGAAGAATAAGAAGAGAGCATTTACAAACATGGAACACTTTCCTTGTCTTACACAACTAAACATTTTGCAGTAAAATTGAAGCATTTTCATGCAACACCCTGCCATTGCCAACCAATGAAACCAAGCATGCTTCCACAATCTCTATGCCTCGGAAAACATATGAAAACTAAACTTGCTCTATATCCTCTCTTCCATGACCCTGCTCTCTATCCCCTCTTCCATGACCCTGCTCTCTATCCCCTCTTCCATGACCCTCTCAACTTTCGAGTCAAACCGGAATCAAATATTAAATACCCCATTCTCTGGAATAACCGAACCGAAAACGAAATGAACACAAGGCACTTTGTAAAAACAAAATTGAAAAGTTTACACAAAAAAAGACTCAAATTAACAGCTTGACTTGATTACACCGAAAACTCAATAAACCCGAATGTCGATACCAAGACTGCTCAATAGCTTCCTAGAAGACTTTTCATCCGCACGGCAACGAAGCCATAGGCATGAAAGTTTGGCCATAGCCGAATGACTAGCAACCTGCAACCTGACAGACAGGGTTCCCTCACCCAACATCTCTTCACTCAACACATCTGTCTCAAAGCTAGTATCATATCCATCGAGGTCTGACTCTGTTACAACAACTACAGAGTCATCATCGAAGACGGCTGTATCCTCTTTTGCAGGTACAGTTAGGGTTTTCTTTACTATCATGCAGCAAGAGCTTACAGGCATTCCATTATTTTTCACCTTGTGGAGATAGTACTCTTGAACAGCCTACATTTAACAGAAATAGATAATATGAACCAAAAAAATCCCAGAAGTTATCGGCCACTTCAATAAGTGCAAAACAACATCGAATAAATCCAATAGGCAATACCTGCTGCTGTGCAGGAGCCAGAAGTACCCTGGGTCTGATAGATCTCACATATTCATAAGCTGCATCAGGTGTCATATGCCTGTGTTCCACCTGTGTTATATACATATATATGTGCGTGTGTGAACTTTTTTATAGGTTTATTGATTTATAAAGTAACTTGGAAAAATTAAATTTGACTTTTTACTCATCACATACCAGGTAGCAGAGGACAATGGTTGTGCTGCGCCCTCGACCAGCCTTGCAGTGAACATAAGTGGTCTTTCCAACAGATGAATTCTCTTCATAGAACAAAAACAAGTAAATGTGCTACGACTTAACAGAAAAGAACACACCCTACAAAAAATAAAGGCAAGAAGAAACGTACCATGTATGAAACATACAGCTTGGCAAATATCGACAAATGATGGAGCAAAAAGATAGTCTCTTGTAGGAATCACCAAATGATCGATGTCGTGAGCCTACCGAACAAAAATAGTGAACATTTGATCTTTTAGGCATATCTATGACTGAATAACAAAATGTTTCAGATAGAAAACTAGAAAGTAACATGAAGCATTTCTAAAATGCTTCTTCATTGAAAGAAATTAGCCTCCTTAACCTGCGAATTGGATATAAAAAAAATATCCCATTGACTCTGCTGTTCTTATCATACCTAATATACACTACTACCTTGAAGATAAAGATGAAACCGTGTTCAACTTAAAGGGCTCTGGCTTCAACATCTGAACTTCCCACTCACTAAAAGATTGCTCAGATTAATTAGCTTTTCAAGGTTGAGTAGGTATATTTCCAATGAAACAACTATTATCTAAAATTTTGTGATTTTCATTTGAACATATATCACGTTCCAAGATATAGCGACAACAAAATAGCACTCACATGATATAGCGATGTTGGGACCAGAGTTTCATATGGTTCATTTAAGGTCACAACTCCAGAGACACCAAGATCCTTCAACAGCGGAACATCGGCAGGGAAAGGCACAGCACCTAACAAAATAAACTGAACTCAAGGCAGTGAGAGAAAAAGAATTTAGCACATAACCATAAAACATGCATAGTCAGCATAATTCATAGCAAAACAAAAGCTTAATCAAAGAAAAGGTGGGATACAGAAAAGGATTTAACAGATATTCGCAAACAATCCAATTAACTTCCGTCATCACTCATCAGTATAATCAAACCAAACAACTAGGGTTCCTGGAAAACTAAGCTACATTCAACAAAAATATATATATGATAAATAAGATACAAACCCCTACTTCCCCCTTCCCTTGCCCAATAGCCGAACAAATTGCAACAAAAATACTTCAATAATTCATTGTTTTGAGGCATGATTCACTATATTTGTCAAAAGAGGGGAAACACAAGAGCAAATTAAATTTCATAAAAATGTTATATTATACCTCATCAACTCTATCCCACCACCTAAATTCAGACTGGATCTTGTTCCTGACAAGATTGTACAACAACGTTGGATAAAAAAGAGCCCGAGCTCCAGCTCCCACAAAAACCCGCTTTGCATCCCAAACAACCAGGCTATCTCCACACAACTGACTCTGATCTTGATCCTGCTGCCCCCCTTCCTTCAATTCTTCAATATGCATATTTTTCTTTTCTTTCTTTTTCCTCTCGATTGATTCACAAAGATACATACATTTAAAAAAAATAGAGAGAATTACCGTTGAACCCTAAAATCAAACAAAAAACACTCAAACTAACAAGAAGATAAAGTATTCTTTGATCTAAATTACTAACTGGAATCTACAAAGAGAATAACATGGAAATAAGAAGAGAAAAAAAAAACGAAAACGACCATCGACTCAAACAGATGAAAACTTTAATCAAACAAAAGAAATTGAGATCTTAAAGCAATTTCCAACTATGGGAAGATGAAAACATGTTTGACCTAGAAATATGCATACTCTTGAAAATTAAGATAAAATAAAGGGGGAAAGAGAAATTTTCTGAGGGTGGAGGAAAGAAAATAAAGAAGAAACGCCAAGTGAAACGAATTCGAAATAAAAGGATTTAAAATACAAAGCATTAATTTTGGCCCTTTTCTTGCAGAGTCAGTTACTTTTTCCCTCCTCTCCTTTCTCCAACAACCTCCTAGGAAACTGACGCTCCGTAATTTAGATTTGGATTAAGGTGTAATTAATTTCTAATCTCCTTCATTAAGGAAACTCGAAAACCTAACGCCACAGCGGGCCGGGGACCATCTTAAAACGACGACGTTATCCGGATAAAGTGATGACGCACCAATCTCGTGAACCAAATACTAAATGTACGTTTGGTTCACGGAATATAGATTATTAGTGTGAATAAAAGATTATCAGTGGGAATAAAAGATTATCATAGAATAAGATTATTGGGAATATTGTATTTTATGTTTGGTTGGTTTAGCAGGAAGGTAAGATTACCGTGTTTGGTTAAAAGAAAAAAGATTATTAAATATATATTTGAACAAATTACCTTATTATATATTTATTTTTTAACAAGTTAGAAAGTATTTATATATTTTCTTTAAAAAATTTAAATTCATAAATATATATATATTTTTATAAAATTAAAATATAAAAGGTTTAATGAAAGGGTAAAATTTTATTTTAACCCCTGAACTTCATATAAAATTTTAATTATAGATTTTTTTATAAATATAAAATAGTTTAAAGATAAATTTATAATTTAACCTTCGTAAAATTTTTATTATTCAATGACAGAATAATATATTTTTAAAGAATTTTTTTAAGGGCATTTTAGTCTAAAACACTGGTAATCCAACAATACCTAAAGAAATGGATGTAATGACATTCCCGGTAATATACCCAAAAAATCCACTATTGGTAAGGTAAGATTACCGGGAATGACATTCCCGGCCAACCAAACGGTGAATATGGATTTCATTCCCATGGGAATTTCACATTCCCCCAACCAAACACACCCTAAGGGTGCGTTTGGTTCACAAAATATAAGATTACCAGTGAGAATGTAAGATTACAAGGGAATAAGATTAATGAGAATGTTGTATTTTGTGTTTGGTTGGTTTAGCAGGAATGTAAGATTATAGTGTTTTGTTAAATGAATAAAGATTATTGGAATGTATATTTGACCAAATTGTCTTTATTATATATTTATTTTTTTAACAAATTGGAAAATATTTATATATTTTCTTTAAAAAAATTAAATTCATAATATTTTTTACAAAATTTAAAATATAAAAAGGTTTAATGAAAGGGTAAATTTTTTTAACCCCTAAACTTCATATAAAATTTTAATTATAGATTTTTTTTGTAAATCTAAAATATTTTAAGGATAAATTTGTAATTTAATATTTGTAGAATTTTTATTATTCAATGACAAAAGAATGATATTTTTGAAGAAAATTTTTTTAAGGGCATTTTAGTCCAAAACGTCGGTAATGTTGCAATACATAAGGAAATGGAGGTAATGACATTTACATTAATATACTCAAAAAAAATCTACTATTGGTAATAAAACATTACCGGAAATGAGATTCTCAACCAACCAAACATAGGAATGTGTATTCCATTCCCATGGGAATCCCACATTCCTTTATCCAAACCCCCCTAAGGGGCTGTTTGATTAAATCAAAATGATTAAGCGCTGAATGATTCAATTGCCTGAATGATTCAAAGGTCATGTATGAATTAGCTCTGAATATGACATGTTGTTTGATAATAGTTCTGAATCATTCAGAATGTACTTTAATGCTGAATCATTCAACAGTGTTTTGCTGAATCATTCAGCAGTGTTTTGCTGAATCATTCAACACAGTCTTCATTCAGAAGTGAGAATCAAACACGCTGAATGTTGAACGATTCACCATTCAACAGTAAACAAACATTCCCTAATTCTTCGATCTTATTATAATTCAATGAGAAAATGGTTGACGTGTATAACTGTTCCAGTGGGATAAAATATTAAATTTATTAAGAACAATAGGGACGAAGCTTCTTTAGGGATTAAAGGGACCTCGATTCCCATAAAAAATTATACATTCATTAAATTTTGGTTTATTATTATTTTTGTTCATGTAAAATTAAATATTTAAATTAAAAATATAATTTTCTTTAAAATTAATTAAGTTAAGAGCAAATTAAAGATGAAAATCTCATGTTTCAAAATTTTTGATCTAATAATGATTTAGATCATTTTAAGTTTAAATATTAGACAAAGACATATTATTTTCTGAATTTTGAATATAAATACTTAATAAGTCATTATATTTTGTTAAAAAATTCAATATTTCAGCCCCTATTAAAAAGTAATATTGGCTCTGTCCTTGAGGTCAGGAGTTTAAATTTCGACATTTGCGAATGAAGTAAATTGGGTTTAGAGAGACGCACTTATCTCTGTCGTATTTGATCCAGATTAGTCGATTTATAAATAAAAAATGCGTGGTTATAAAAAAAACAAAGTGGTTGACGTATTTATTAATATAATTCAGTCCAAAAAAATATGATTTCTGGTAGTCCATTTTATGTTAATACTACAAAAATAACCTAATAATGATTTCTTTTACTCGTTTTTAACTTTCTCAATAATATATTTTTGTTTTTAGAAAGAGAAAATATATCTTATTAATTTGTTTATAAAGATCTAAAAAATTTACTGACTGCATAAGATAATATTTTTTATTCATTATTTAATTTTATTTTATAAAAAATTAAAAATATATTAGACCATCATAACATAATTATATAAGATTTTAATTAATATTCTAATAATGAATTATATTACGTTCATATCAATTTATATAGTGAGACATGAGAACAGTAAAATAATAAGTTAAATGTTATTTATTTATAGTCAATGAAATAACTTTTCTATAATTTTATTCAAAGATAATATAGTTTTCTATTTTTTATAATAAATAATAACATGGTGTAGCTATCGAAATATCAAATTGGTGGTGGTTGGTTTGAATTTACTTGCCTATTTACATTTTGGAGAAAGTTGGTATCAATTTTTTTACTTCATTTAGTATGAATTTGAAATTAGATGAGAATTTGAAATTTTCAATAACGATTGCCTCCCTCGATCCATCCTTAGTTAAAAGTGATGATTGAATGATTTGTACATAATTATTTATAACTATATAGTTAATTATATTTTTTAAATTTGTTTGGGAATTTGAAATTAGATGAAGAATTTGAAATTTTCAATAACGATTGCCTCCCTCGATCCATCCTTAGTTAAAAGTGATGATTGAATGATTTGTACATAATTATTTATAACTATATAGTTAATTATATTTTTTAAATTTGTTTGGGGTTTAACTATTGATTTTAATCTATTAAATAATTAATTTAAATAAAATATTATAAAATTCTATTTTAGAGATGAACCCTCTGACCTAATTTTCATCCTAATAAATTTGTTATTTAATGACTTTTAAAATTCTGAACCACAAAATAACAGTTGCCGAGCATAGTGAATTAGTGATAGAGACATTGTTATGGTCATATCATTCTCATCCATAAAAGTAAAACTCAATGAATTATTCAAAACACGTTGTAGCAATTGAATATATGGTTCTGCATAAACTTGATCAAACAAAGAGAGAAAATAAATCTTATTTTCAAATTTCACCTATATCATGTCAAGTAAGACATGATAGAATAATTTTCATCTGAAAAAATTACCAGATGGCTTGAGCCCTTTTAGTGAATCAATTGATGTTGTTCTTTGAAGCCTAACCTGCTCTCTGAACTTGGCTATGAACTCACCAGCCTTCCTATCAACCACATAACTATCACTTCCCGCTACACTCAAAGTCCCGGATATGGTTTCTTCATCCGAGCTTACTCGGAAATCTTCATCCGAGCTTACTCGGAAATCTTCATCATCTTTCTCCGACTCCGAACACTCCCGTTGTTCTCGGTTCTGGTTCTTGGAAAATGTCGGGTTTTGCATGCTAGAGTTACCTCCAAGATATTGCCTTTTGAACCCAACTGAGAGATTATAATGACCGAAATTCAGCTAACTTTCACCTCTGGTATTGCCACTACCTAAAGCTCCGAAACGACTTTCGTCTCGAGGAAGCTTTAGAGGGAGCTACTGGTTTTGCATCAAATTTCAGGGGATAATCTGAAATCCGTTCTTTAGTACCATTTGATGAATCATCCTTTTTGTTGTCACTGAATTACTTCAATTCATCGGAATTCAGTGATTCCGGTGAACTAGAATGTGAGGGAGATAAGCTACTCGGTGAATGTGGACTGAGTTCCGAATAGAAAGACCGTGATTTGAGTGATTGAAATTGAGTTTCATCAACTGAGAGAGGCCTAAAATGAAAGCCCGAGTGGCACCGCCGCCGCCAACTCTTTGTAGCATCCTTACAGATCTCGACCGCCAAGGGATCGGAGAATCCAAAACATCATTCTCGTTATACTTTCCTTCCAAACTTTCAGACCCTAAATCACTAGAACTCTCACCTTCACTCTTATCAGAACTATCAGACGAATCCACCACATTTGTACCAGAGAACTCACTTGATCCAGTGCCAAATTCAACCCCTTTTAAGCTCCTAACAGGCAACCCCAAGGGTTTATGATCTACAAACGAAACCAATTCACAATGCGGTCGAGCCAATACAACCATGTGTTCCCCTAGAACGCACTTTGAACTCCAAGCTTGAACAACATTTTCCACGTAAGGGCTCTCAAAGCTACCATTTTTAACATTAAAAGACCCAGCTTTGCCATGTACACTATAGCATATCGAATGATCAAAATCATCTTCAAAAACAGACGAAAAATGGGAAATTCCAGAAGCATACGAGTGAGAATATTCATGACTAACATTATCAGCATTTGATCTACGACCAAACAAGCCATAAGAAACAGCAATGCCGATGAACAATAG